CCACTAAAACCTTGTGTCTGCTTGACGTCCTTCGTGTTCCCTCAGTCACACGTAGTTTACTCTCAGATCCTAAATTAACTCGTGACAACAATGTGTTTGTTGAGTTTCACCCTTTTCATTTTTTTGTTAAGGACCGGGACACGAGGGACGTTCTTCTTAGTGGTCGAGCTCGTGATGGCTTATATGCGCTTGATGTGCCACGAGTCTCTCAAGTTTTCAGTGGTGTTCGGGTGTCATCATCGCAGTGGCATTCTCGCCTTGGCCACCCTGCCACTCCCATTGTGCGTCATGTGCTTCATCGTCATCGTCTTCCTGTTGAGTCGAATAATAAGGAGTTTCTAGTGTGTGATGCCTGTCAACAAGGCAAAAGTCATCATTTGCTTTTTTCTGTACCGAGTCATGTTGTCACGGCTCCTCTTGAACTTGTGTTTTCGGATATATGGGGCTATGCCCGAACTTCTGTCAGTGGTCACAACTATTATGTCAGTTTCATCGATGCTTTCAGTCGCTTTACTTGGATTTATCTTATTAAGCGCAAATCTGATGTGTTTCATGTCTTTATGCAATTTCAAGCACATGTTGAGCGACTGCTTAAGCACAAAACCATCCAACTCCAGTCAGACTGGGGTGGTGAGTATCGTAATCTTAACACCTTCTTTCAGAAGCTTGGCATCTCACACCATGTGTCTTGTCCTCATACACATTAGCAGAACGGTGCTGCTGAGCGCAAGCACCGTCACATAGTTGAAACTGGTCTAACACTTCTTGCGCATGCCTTTGTCCCGTTTTGGTTCTGGAGCGATGCTTTTGTTACTGCCTGTTTTTTGATAAACAGGATTCCCACGCGACTTCTTCACATGAAGTCTCCGCTGGAAGTGTTGCTAAATGAAACTCCTGATTACTCCCTCCTAAAAGTGTTCGGTTGTGCGTGTTGGCCACATCTTCGTCCGTATAATAAGTATAAACTTGAGTATCGATCCAAACAATGTGTGTTTCTTAGATACAGTCCTCTCCACAAAGGTTATAAGTGTCTTCACATTCCGACGAATCGTGTTTACATTTCTCGCGATGTTGTGTTTGATGAGACTGTCTTCCCGTTTTCCACACTCACATCATGCACCGATACTCCCGTCACCGAGTTGCACTCTTTTCCAGTTTTTCCTGATCAATTTGTAGATGCTGCATATTCTCCTTTGTTGTTGCCTAACCATGGTGCAGGAACTGGACGAGGCGCTCGACTTGAGCTGCTTGATGATGATGTGGACACAATTGCGCCGGCTGCTGTTCCGCCGACTGCCCCCGCTACTACGCCAACTGTCCCCAACGACGATCACGCGTGCATGCCCCATGCACGTGGATCCGACGGGGCGCCCGAGTCGCCTGGGTTGGCGGCCTCGCTCTCACCTGGGGCGGCCTCTCCGTCGCCTGGGCCGGCGGCCCCGGTGTCGCATGGGCCGGCTCCTGTGTCGCCTGGGTTGGCTGAGCCCGCGGCGCTATTGGACGGGGTACCTGATTCCCCTGGGCTAGCGGCCCCGGTGTCACCTGGGCCGGCGAACTCGCCAACCACTGCATCCTCGTTGCCTGGCTCGTCGACGCCGCCCGGTCTGTCTTCGCCGACCCTGACCATGCCCTCTGTCGTGGCAGCTCCACCGCCACCGCCACCTTCGTCCTGCGTCCCCACACTCACAGCAAGAGTGGCATCTTCCAACCGAAGAAGCGCACTGATGGCACTGTCGCGTGGCTTGCGGCTTGTGTGGCGCATGCTGAGGCTAATCCTACAACTGAACCACGACATTTTCGAGCAGCACTTGGCATCCCACATTGGCATGCTGCGATGGAGCAGGAGATCTGTGCTCTTCAGAAAAACAACACTTGGTGTCTCGTTCCACCTCCATCTGGTGTCAATGTCATTGACTCTAAATGGGTATTCAAGGTGAAGAAGCATGCTGATGGCTCCATTGAGAGGTACAAGGCGCGCCTGGTTGCCAAGGGATTCAAACAACGGTATGGCATTGATTATGAAGACACGTTCAGTCCCGTTATTAAACCAACTACTATTCATGTTCTTCTCTCCTTGGCTGTTACTCGTGGATGGTCACTTCGACAACTTGACGTTCAGAATGCCTTCCTTCATGGAGTTCTGGAAGAAGAGGTTTACATGCGTCAGCCGCCAGGTTTTGTTGATCCTGCTCAGCCACATCATTTGTGTCGCCTTGTCAAGGCTCTCTATGGTCTGAAGCAGGCCCCGCGTGCATGGCATGCCCGTCTTGGTGCTGCTCTTCGTGCACATGGGTTTGTTCCTTCTGCAGCAGACACGTCTCTGTTTATTCTTCAGCGACCTGAGGTGACTATGTATGTTCTGGTCTATGTTGATGACATTATTCTTGTCAGTTCGTCTGCCACTGCTACAGATCAGCTTGTGTCCTCTCTTGGCACTGAGTTTGCTGTTAAGGATCTTGGGAGATCGCACTATTTTCTAGGCCTGGAGGTTCTTCATTCTGATGGTAGCTTGACTCTTACTCAGAAGAAGTACTCTCAGGATCTTCTGCGTCGTGCAGGTATGTTGCAGTGCAAGACTGCTATGACTCCCATGTCTGCCACAGATAAACTGACAGCTCTTGCTGGTGACTTGCTCTCTCCTGAGGATGCCACTGAGTACCGCAGCATTGTGGGTGGACTATAGTACTTGCTCATTACTCGGCCAGACATATCATTTGCAGTTAACCGTGTGTGCCAGTACCTTCATGCACCTCGTGATTCTCACTGGTCAGCTGTTAAGCGTATCTTGCGCTATATTCTTCACACTGGTTCCTATGGACTCCATCTTCAGCCTGCACGTTCTGGACTGATCTCAGCATTTTCTGATGCCAATTGGGCTGGTAGTCCGGATGATCGGCGATCCACGGGGGGACATGCTGTGTTCTTTGGACCTAACTTGATCACCTGGCAAGCTCGCAAGCAAGCTACGGTGTCTCGGAGTAGTACTGAAGCTAAGTACAAAGCTGTTGCTAATGCCACAGCTGAGATCATGTGGGTACAATCATTGCTTAGAGAGTTGAAGGTCCCCCCAACTCAGCCACCTGTTCTTTGGTGTGATAACATCGGTGCTACATATCTGTCAACCAATCCAGTATTTCATGCCCGAACGAAGCACATCGAAGTTGACTATCATTTTGTGAGGGAACGTGTTGCTCAGAAGCTCCTTCAGATTAAGTTTGTTTCTTCTAAGGATCAACTTGCTGATATTTTCACTAAACCCTTGCCCTTGCCTTCTTTTGAAGGATGTCGTCGCAATCTTAACCTCCTGAGTGTTTCAAGACATAGTTCAGATTGAGGGAGGGTGTTAGACTAAGTATATATTAGATATACGTGTTGTAACATAATCTGTATTTGTACGGTTCCCTCTTATAAATATATGACAGCCGTACCCACCAAGGGTATCGAGCATTGTTCCAAACCCTAATCTGTTTAACAATCTGGAAACATCATTAGGGCATTGCACTGTATCACACTTAATGTTGTCAATCTTTTTGCATTCCCAAGATTTTTTGGCATGGACACCAGCTTGGCACAACATGCGATGTGCAAATATTCAAGATTTGCGGGCAACATTGGTACCTCCACTAAATTCACACAGTTTTCAATTCCAAGATACCGGAGTCGAGGAGGCAAAGCATTTTCATCATCACATATTCTTGATGGAAGTGAACCAGTTAAGTTGGAACAGCAAGACATTTTTAGACTTCGAATACGCTTCAAGTGTCTCAGTTCTGCCGCTGGCCATTGTACTATGCTATAGTTGTCTGAAATCCATATACATTCAACAAAACGGAAATTGTTCCATATATTTCCATTGTATTTGGGAAAGTATAGAGGAGAAAAGACTGCCCCAACCTACAATATCCAACTTCTTAAAGAATCTGCAATGTGTTCTGTTAAGCATCTCTTCAAATAAATTTACATCTTCATTCCGACCATCGAGTCGAAGTCGCACGTCAGAGTCACTAAGGCTCGAAAAATAAAGTCTAGTAGGTCCCAGCATACATTCAGGCGTCAGCCATATTTCGCCTGTGCAGTGAAGGTTAGATTGCATAGGTAGATGCATCAGATGGTAAAGAGGAATGTTTGAGAACACCAACTGTATATCTTCAAGCAAAGGGAGCATCATGGGAATTCTTCTTAGCATGGGCATCTGAAAATATCTAGCTTCTTGAGCCGAGGAAATGATACGTTCACTACCTGTCCATCCACCTCCAGGTGCCATCTCTCTAGGTTACGCATGTCATTAAATTTCATAGTTTCCAGCTTAGGAAATAAGGGTGGTGGAGAAGCACAGGACTCGCTATTGTCTATGCCATCATTCCCAACACATATACTTCTCAACCTATGCAAACCATCCAAACTCAAGTACCTGAGGGAGGGCAGCTGCCATATTGGTGGGAGATCCTTGCAATATTTGCAGCTTTTCAGACGAAGTTCACTGAGATGTTCTAACACTTTAGACTTGTTCATCCATGATGAAAATTTATCACCGGTGTAATTAGACAATAGTAAAACTTCAAGTCTATTGTGAGGACGAAGGGCCTCTAATATTCCTTCTGCATTAGTATCTACATTACATCTAATTTGTGTCCTATAAGAAGGTTCACATTTCCAATTGAGTGATAAACATTTCAAATTATGCTTGGCGAACATATTGCCTTGTTTAGCATTATTTGTACTATGCACTTTTCTTAGCTCAATCAAAGAAAGAGCACCACAAAGATTCAAATCTTTCAATTGATCAATGCCACGACCCGCATCACTATCAATGACATAATTCGTCAATGTTTGTAGAGAAGTCAACTGACTAATTCCTTGTGGCATACGCTCCAAACGATGACATCCAAGGAGGAAGATGTGCCGAAGACTTCTCATAGATCTCATGCCTTCTGGCAATTTCTTTAGGTATTCACAACTATTGAGCTTCAATGTTTGCAAGCTGTACAACATGGTAATGGCTTCAGGCAGCGCAGATACATAAGAATCAGAACAACCTAGGTAGCGAAGATGCTTCAAATTTGTCAAATATGGCCTGATATAGCATGTTTTCAATGCTCGTAAGGATATGAATTTTGACTTGCCCATACCCCCCCTTCGAACTAATATTGTGCGGGGCCGGGGAGCAAGAATTTTCTGCATGGTCGCAATAGTATGATCATGCACATAATCAAGTGACAGATGTCGAACTTCGTGTTGTAATGAATTGACATATGTGGACTCTTGCGGAATTTGATGACATGAAGATTCTTGTAGAATAGAGCAATCATTTCCACTTACGGAGTCAGCAAGATCATGCATGAGATCGTCCATCTTGTAAGTGGTTGGCCTGTATATGAACTCATTATATTCATCTCGAAATCCGGAGAGCAGATTATTGTGAATATGGCCATCTTGAATGAAACATTTCCAAACTAGTAGATCAAAAATTTGTTGGCCTCTTGTTTCTGATGGAACAAAATCATTTGCCATCCATAGGTGGATTAACATGTCTTTATCCATGATGCTACCCTTGGGGAAAATAGCACAAAAGGAAAAGCATATTTTTTCTTCTGATTTCAAGTGATCATAGCTCAGTTGTAGCGCAGGTACAATCCTAGTTGTGAGAATATCATTTTTCCAGACATCACTATCCAGAACAGAAAACCACTGATTGTGGTCCTTCAAATGAAGTAACGTTGTGATGGTCTTGATAGCAAGAGGCAACCCCTTACACTTGTGTACAATACTCTTAGCCACTGAAATAATTTCTTCTGTCTTTTCCACTACCCTTCCAAATGCATTCGTATGAAAAAGCTCCCATGATTGATCCTCTTTTAGAAGTGATATATGATGTGTAGGAAGTGTGCCCATAATAGAAGCAACTTGCTCGCTACGGCATGTCACCATTATAGCACTACCGGGGCCAGCATCTGAGCACAACAAGGATAGCATGTCTTTCCACTTTTGTCCATCTTCATTCCAAACATCATCAAACACTAGGAGGTACATTTTGTTGCCCAACACTTCATGAAGTTTCTTCTGCAGTGCCTCCATTTCGGTCAAGTCACACTTGTTCATCGTGGCTACTTGTATTATAGATCGGATTATTTCTTCGATAACTAATTTGTTAGAGACACAAACCCATATGACCAACTCAAAATGATGCATAACTCGTTGGTCATTGCGCACAAGTTGAGCAAGTGTGGTTTTACCAATCCCCCCCCCCCCCATACCTACTTTGGGGAGCACCATAATAGTATTATCATCATTATCGTTATTGATGTTAGAGTGCTCGAGCAATATGTTCACCACTAGTTCCTTCTCATCTTCTTTGCCAACAATCTCTGAGTTATCAACATGAGAGTTTGTTCGCGGATGAATAATGGTTGGTGCCTCGGTATTTTGTAGGAAGTGGAAAGTGTTCATTTCCGCGACCAGTTCATCTATGATTTTAAGGGCATCCTTCATCTTCCCACTCATTGAAAGACGGAAAACAATCGGACTATTGACACTGAAATAACTCAACACCTGAAACGGAAAGATATAAATTGAAATAAAAAGGCTTATGTTTCCAAATTAAAACCCTAAGCTGAAAATAGAACCAAACAACAGAAATAGAATTGTCAAGTAGTCCCATTAAGGGTTTTTGTTACCGCTCGAGGTATTCAGTGCAGTGGGGTTACCGTGTTTCCCTCTACCATACGAGAAACATACAAGCTGACCCAAAAGAATCGTTTGTTTTAGAAATTTTGAATTTGCATGCATAGTTAACTAACCTGGAACCTTTTACATAACATCCAAGTAACGATGGTGGCAGATGTGCCCCTCCTAAGCATGCAACACAAAGGTCTTGTGTTCGACTCCCCATGACAGACGCAAAGAACTAACCAGTGCGACACAGGCGATTTTCTAACTAATATGAGCACAATTCATATTTGTACCTCGCCCAGATAAATTTGAAGTTGGATTTCGTTGGAAAATTTTGGAAGGTAGTCGCTCGGTATTTTAGGGTAACCGTGCCCCCTCCCATCCGCCTAAATTTTTGGGATTCGCTACCCAAAGCCTTGGTCCCATTTCAACCTCAAACTCTATTTAAAATACAATAGCGTCACGCCAATTCAATTTAAACTTTCAAACAGATCCTCAACTAAAATTGAAGGGCTTCCATTTCCAAAGCCAATCGGTCGGGAAGAAGGTAGGACAAACCTTGCGTGCAGTTGAGTGGCTGCGGATCTGGGCAGCACGGCGGCGCAACACCTCGTAGCGGAAGGCATCAAGGACGTCATCGGCTTCGTAAGCCGCGGTCTTGAGGTCCTTGATCCACTGGCGGATGGCAGGGTAGGTGCGGCTCTTGTCTTCAGCATCGAGCAGGATGCACTGGACGGCAGCAAGGTGGCGCTCCAGCTTCCGGCGGGCCTTGTCCAGCCCCCACGCCCCATCGCATCGCCAGCCTTGGCCGCCACGCTGCCCAACAGCGGTATCAGCAGGGGAACCATGTCGCGCCGGTGGGTGGCCCAAATTAGTTGGTGCTCACGGTGTGCAGGTGAACCAGCGTTGAGAAAAATTAGCCCATGACTGGAGAGGCAGCTGTCATGTCGCCATTGGAGGGTTGCTAGCCAGCCTAGCCTAGGTATGTACGTCCAGCATGTTAGAAACATGCTAGGGCGTCCACTACGAGGCTAGCATTCCAGCGCGGATCCATACAAAGCCGGCCGGGTTTTCATTTCCAAGCTGGTTGTCGTTTGGCCCAATGCCATGGCTTCACGTAATCTTGAAACTCCATCTCTCCGTTCATAGCAAGGCGTATATATCGAACTCATTCTTAATCTTGAAGCTCCACTGATCTACTCTTCGCTACATACTCCCTTCGTCCGATGAAGAGTGTACATTTGACTTTAAAATTTGTCCACAAAAAAGTCATGTATCATGTGATCAATTTTCGTGGGTGTAACCAGTTTTCATCCCTGCGATGTGGAAACTTAATGTGCCCCCGAAAATCCACGTTTTCCTGTGGCTCTTCTCGTATAACAGGTTGATGACCAGAGATAACCTGAGGAAGAGGCACATCATTAAACCTCTGGACTGCGTCTTTTGCTCTGAACAGGAAACCAACACCCACTTGTTTTTTGAATGCATAGTAGCAAAAAACATTTGGTCGTTTGTGGCTGACCACTTCCAGGTCAGGATAGGGATAGAGTATGAATCTGTTGCCAGAATTTGGATATCCAATAGGAAGAATTCTGCTCTAAACATGGTCTCATCGGTTGTCCTCTGGTGTTTGTGGAAGTATAGGAACTCTATTATCTTTAACAACACCGTTTGGACGTCGATTTTGCAGGTTTGGAGGTTGATCCTCAGAACCCTCAAGTTCTGGGCGATCTTGGCGCCAGAGAATGGCAAGGCTCGTCTGGAGATTTTTCTGACAGCACTAACAACTTTCTTGCTACAGCCGCTGAGAATAATGAGTGGCTAATGCTGGAGGGCTGCACGAAGGATGGGGTCGTGAATCAGTGGGGCAAGCTGAAGATCTCTGACGATCACTGGCGTTTCCACTCACCAAAGAAGCAGAGTGCCCCGAAGGGCAAAAACATGCTAGGCAGCCCAGTATCGACGCTTGCCTGCTGGTCTCCTCAAGCAGCCTCAGCACCACCATTCAAGCTCAGGAAAGCTGCTGAGATGGGAGCGGACGCAACCCTGGAGACGTCTGAATACTCTAGTTCGGGCCTGCGTGCCGTTTGATCTTTTCAAAGATCTATACTCCCGGGTTTCTCTTTCAGTATCGTAGTGTCATTTTTTTAGGCTGAACTGCTCCTCTAAGTGAGCTGCTGTATAACTGGAGATCGAGTTTGGTTTCATTTGAGTAATGGAACCGTGGAGGGGGGACCTCCATGTTCATCTAAAAAAACAAAAAAGTCTATTTCTATCTTTTCAAAGCACTTTAAGGTAGAAAAAAAATGTTTCTCTCTCACCACATTGTAACTAGGACCAATAACATTTTACACATGGTCTCCTTCATTTCTACATGCACTTATCTTATTGGGGTTGAGTAATTAAAGAGGAGAGAGATGGTATAGTTTGCACCTTTCAAATGCATTTTTTACTCGACTTCGTAATTTATCCTAAAATTTCAATATGTATATTTCACCGGAGGGGGGAGTAATTAAAGTTCATCTTTTTCTCTGCTAATAATTAAGTTTTGTTATTATGTTAGTATGAATACTTTATATAGGCATTCAATAACCTATACAATGATTTCTACTTAAGATTTGCTTTACAGATAGATAGGTTTAATTTGATGTAGATAGATGCTAAAGTTTAAAATAGGTGACCGTGGTGATGGCTTTGCCCTGATCTGGTTTTACCGGCTACCAGTGGTGCAGCGGCTAGAATGCGATGTGGGCGGCTCGGGCAGCTGCGGCCGGATGTGGGCGGAAGTGGCAGCCTTCCTTCTCCTATGTCCAGGCCAGCGGCGTGGGCAGCTCGCGCGGTGGAGATGGCCTGGACATGGGGCTCGTGCTTGGGTGGATCAGCTTGGGACTCGAGGCTGGTCGGAGCTTTGGCTCCAGGTAGGCGATGATGTGGGCTCGGTCCGGGTGTTGCCTGCGAGCGATGAGGTCCTCTCCTTGTGGGTATGGCCGCGATGGTGGTGGTCAGTACACCCTCCACCACGCAGATCAGTGTCGGAAGCCACGGACATGGCGTTGTGCGAGCCTGTGGTGGCCGTAGGTTGCCACGGGGTTGTGTCTCCCTTGGTCCACCGGGACTATATGGGGATGTAAGCGTGGGCGTCTCTTATCGTGGAGGCGCCGACCCAAGACTCCGTGGCTGATGCCGTGCTAGGGGTGAAAGAAGATGCCTTTTAATCTATATATACACTTTTCACCGGAGGGAGAGAGTAATTAAGTTCATCTTTTTCTCTGCTAATAATTAAGTCTTGTTATTATGTTTGTATGAATATTTTATATAGGCATTCAATAATCTATACAATGATTTCTACTTAAGATTTGCTTTGTAAACACATTTGTACGTCGTCAATATTCAGCAAGAGATAGTACAACAAAAGCACGCCGGCGAGCCAATACAACTAACGCTGCACCCATTGAAGAAGTGTTGATAAGGGATCCCAAAATATCATAGCAGTGGTGAAAACAGAGCAGAGCACGTCTTATCATATCTCTACATTTTTTACTTTATCGATTGATGAACTCTGCTTTTTTTCTTACATGGAAAGCAGAGATTCTGAATGTCTGAAATTTTTAGACATCCAGAGTAGGGCACATTTAGGCTCCTGATTCTTCCACGGGAGCAGGCACAGTGCAGCAACGATTACCGTTGGGTTTGTTGTACTCTCTTCAAGATTGGGCTGTCCTTTGTAGTTTGTTCACTAAATGTCACTAAATCAAGGTAATCTGAAACCCAGCATTACAAAACGTTTGCTCACCAACGTTTTGGGTGTAGCTTATATGCAGGAGTGCTGCATATGTTAAGGAGAAGAGAGAAAGTTGGGTTTGACCAGAAAAAACCACTACAACTTTTTACGAGATCTAACAGCGGCGTCTCAGCCGTCTTCGGTCTTCACTTATCCCCAGTTCCTCCGACCATCTGCCCCATCGACTAACTAACCGTGTGTCGCGCCTGCATATGCCCATAGCCAACATATGCAGCGGACTGAACAAGTGCAGGTTCAAAGTTGCACCTGTACTGAACCTGCAACGCCCTGCGTGGCGAGCCGGGCCGTGGGCCTTGTAGCGTGCGCGCGTTGCGAGTGACTGGCCGGGTGCCAGCTACATATTGTACCCAGACCGATGGATTGGGCAGGAAGGAAATAGAATCT